CCTTAGAAAAGGATTTGTTACACCTTTTGAAGCCCACTCTGTGGGCATATTATCATAGGCCTGGAATCACTCTTGGATTTGTCTCCTTTGTGCAGGGACCATGTGCGTTTGTCATTGCAATATAGAGCAGTTTTGTCTAATTATTGCCTCCACTTGAACCTGTTGAAATGGCAAGTTATCCCCACAGCAGAGTTTTGTATTATAAAAATCAGTTGACTCGCATGGAAAGAGAGTCCAGAATGCATGCAGTGATGCACAGTCCCAGGCAATGCAGGACCAGTTGGGGCACCCGGGGCTGAAGAGCGAAGTTATTTGGCAATGTAGGCAGAAACACTGAAAACAAGCCAGTCTGGTTTCTTCAGTCTTGACTTGTAAATGTTCTTGTTGCTTTAGAAGGCTTCTGAACATCTGCAACTGAAGTGGATTTTTTTTCGTTGTTAAAATATTGTTAAATTTGTTAAAATGTTTTACTAGTAAGTTTCTGTTCTGTGCGTGGAATTTCCACTCTGAGCCTGTGCTTAGCTTTGGGCAAAGCTACCTGATCCTCCTCTGTGTCACTCTGACTTCTGCCACAGGTCGGTGCAGGCATAACACCAACCCATCGCTGCAAGATTTCTAGCACTGAACTCGGGAAGGGCATGAGGATGCCCTGACCATATCTATGTTACCATTACAGACATAGAGGTGGAGTCAGGTAGGAACTGCTGTTATCACCAAAGTATTCTGCCTGTTGGGAGCCAGTTCTGCTGACTCTAGGAAATGGTCTCAAAGCAACACTTGCAGGCTTTGGAGTTGTGGTTAGCATGAGTGTTTTCTGGTTTCCATCTAACAATCAGATTTCAATTCCAGAATGAGAAATAAAGCTTCAAGGGTAAGATAGTAGCCCATGTTTTTTGCTGCCTGTGCTAAGTTGTATTGTGCCAGTACTCAAATCTCTTGCAGAGTACTGGAGGGGGGGGAACCAAACCAAATTGTGGCACTAGGATCAGAATCTTGATAACTTTTAATTGTCCCTTCTGTAGTTGAAATATTAATCTTATTTACTTGAGAGTCTGGATAAAGACTCATTTAATACAGACAAGGACAGTAAATGATTGTTTTGAATATTCAAATCAACACCTATTGCCAGTGGAGCTAAACCAGGTTGTAATTCTTCCTTTAGCTCAGTGGGGTGGGGTAAGACACCTAAATTACTTGCAGATTGTCACGGGCAGAAAATAAACGATGAAGCGCTAAATGCCTCGACTTTCCTACCAGAATTGCAACCCACACGGCATACGTAGGTTCCTTATTCACGGGTTCCATGTGGGCTGCACTCTGCTGTGGGGGCAGGCCCGCTAGCCGGGTGCCTACACTGTCTTGGTTTGCCTGAGTAATGTTTTTCAGTGGTTAGTTGAATACTCAAAGGAGGTCATCTGTTATGAGAATATCAACATATTAATATCCTCTGATGACCAAAGATTGCTGAGGGAGAAATTTTTCATTGGTGACAAAGTAATTCTCAAAATGACTGAGACCCCTGAGTTGTGTTCCACCAGCGTGACTTCCAGGCTGGCTTTAGAAAAATGGGTTTGGTTGATTTCTGTTAATCAACCTTAATTCTAGTCAAGACATTACTGTTTTTCACGCAGCCCAGTGCAACCTAGGCGACTGTTGTTAAAGTCTGTGTGCCTCAGAGGACATCTGCTCTGCACGTTGTAGCAGGGTGCCCACGCCTTTCCCTGTGGAAAACGAGTCTGGAAGGAGAGTTCTGTATTCATGTGGTTAGGTTGCTTCTGATATCCCTGCTAGCAGACTTAATTAGCTCTGTTGTATCTTCATTTAAATTGAACCCAGACAGACGTGGCTTTGTGGGGTTAGCTACAGCCAAGTTGAAAATAAACTTACTGCAAGGCATAAACGTGTGTGGATTTGGGGTATGAATCATTTAGGGCAGGAGAGGCCAAGCTAAGCAGGGGAAGGAAGCAGGGGAAAGGGGGTTAAAATGGAGTCAGGTTGAGGATTGTTTGGTGCATGGGGTAGTGGGAATAAATGGCATTAGCCATTTTCCAATTTCAGATCCTATTTATTTATTGACTGAGGAGGGTGTCTTTGCTTCTTGTTGTTGCCTGACTGGTGCTCTGAGTGCATCCACTTGGACTTTGATTACCTTTGGGCACATGTAAAGCTGTTCTGTTGAGAGCTTTTATTTGGTTGCTGGTCATGTGCAGAAAAAGCTGTCACCAATTCTCGAGTTAAGCTTGTGCTTCCAAACCTGCTCATTGTGCCTTGAACACTGCAAAGAGGTCTGCAGTGAAGTAGGTACTTCTCTTGACACTACATTTTTTGCTGCTTGGAGTAAAGTGACCCAGCCAACCTGATGTTTTGCATAAAAGTTTTAGCACTGTAATTTCCTATCAAGTGAGAAGAAATTTGTTGGAATGAACTTATAACGGCAAGTATGGTTGAGTAGTTTTGATCCCGCTGTGGGATCATTGAGAATGATGATCTGAGGCAAATGTCTGTTTGCTTGAAGGACTGTTTTACATTATTTCCGACAGTGACTTTGTACAAATATGCAGTGAGAAAACGTGCCTGCCTCAGCACACGATACAGTTTGTGGAGAGACAGAGGCATGCACAGGCCAAGTGCCTTTTCCAGGGTTGTTCAATCAATCAGTGAGTAGGACACAGGTTTTGCAGTCCAGGTTTTCTGTCACTTGGAGTGGTGTCTTGGACCAAAACTTGCTGTTGATGTGGGGGATTGGCGTTTTTGTTGGCTGAAACTAGTGGGTGTCGCCACACCATGATTTAGGGTAGTTACAAAGAACCAGACTTGTCTAAGAAATGATAGCAATCTCCAAACCACCAAGCAAATCAAAGACCACTGGGAACC